GGAACTCGACAAAAAGCCTCGGGAAATTTCAGAGGAGGTTTAAATGATTAAACTGCACAAATATTTATCTACAAAGTGAAACCGAACCGACACTAATTTTGTAGTGGTAAGAGAAACGCTCATTTTTAAATTTCCCCCTAAATATTACCGATCGCTTCCTCTGCAAGCTGTTTTATTCTTTCAAATGCCTCATGACATTTCAAACTTTTATATAGCAGGTTCGTAAAGCCACAGGAGTCTGAGGACTGACTCTTCTCCGAACCTTTATACTTGCATAGCACCTCAGTTTCAAGAAAATAATCCTTTCAACAGGAAGGGACTAAGAAACTGTCAAATGTTGGAAAAAACTGAATCCATTCCTATGCAAAATACGCATGATTTGCTCGTTGGCACTCTATCGATAGGTATAACTAGTTGTAAATACTAAAGAAGAACAAAATTCGACGCCATTTTGGAATAAGGTGCATTACCGAAATCATAAGACAAGCGGATCGATCTTATCCAATATTTGCTTTTGACTCCAATTTCGTTTTGAGCCTTCGTTACCCTTACCCGGAGGAACCAGCAACGGACTCTCTGGAAGAATCCAAAACAGGAAACACAAAATCCTTGTTCCGGTTTGATTGCACCTGCGTGAAATGCGGCAGACCTTTCTGAGCAAGGGGCATTCTCGGAGGAACTTTTCATAAAACCACGTTTCATTCGCATATTCGTTCCAGAGCAGTTTTCTTTACGTTACCTTCAACTGAAGTATTTAGTAAAGGAAGGAAGTTGAAAAGACTGTAGAGGGAGACCGAAAATTCAAAAAACTATCTTTAAAACGCGGCTACAAGAGTCCATTGTACACCAACAACTGTAACATTCGTTACATTGTGTTTCCAACAACTGAGACTTTGGTAAATCATGACGGCACTTTAAAAAAATGGCGACTTAAAGAAGCTATGTCGTGATGTTTTGGTATTACTTACTTAAAAACCCAAAAAGCACCTTAAAATAAAAGAAAGCCTTGATAAAATGGTTCAGTTCAAGAAAGAATGAGCTTAGCTTAGCTCATTATCTCTTGTTCAGTTTTAAATTACTCTTCTACTTTGCCTCAACTATAAGTGTATGTCTTTAACTTTTGAAGGCCAGCCGGGATGGAAACAGATTGCTATACTTGAAAAAATTGGCCCTGTGTTCTGGAAAAGTGACCAAAAACTATGATTTCTTTGTTTTCCCTTTCGATATAATCATTTTATATCTTTCTTTTAGAGTTCCAAGTATAATTGATACCCCAATATATTCTTATACCTATAACGGAAATGCCATAAGCTATAATTTAAGAATAATACAAGAATATTTCCTGCGTAAAATCGGCAGAAAAATAAGAATATTCAGTCTGGGCCGAGAAAACAGCTTTCTTATAAAAAATGAGTGTAATTGCTTTTTTTTCCTGTTCAATTTCAGCGGGAGTAGATTGAATTTAATAGACCGTTATTCACTCAACGGGGACACAACATGCCGATAAATATGTAAGTATCTAGGAGTGTCTCATACAGTTATTTTGACTAGAAAAGTATAATGTGTGAGCCCCAAGATAGGGTATAGTTATTAGTCTCGCCTACTTTAGCAGCGAGACTCTTACTAAAAATTCAAGTGTTTCCTTTTTGTCTCTGTGTGTGTGTGTGGTCATGGTCCTTGGTCCCAGGCGTTCCTTGCGAAGACCGTGGAAACTGGCGATAAGAATACGTGTCGGAGCGCCATACATATGTTTTGTGAAGAATGCTTTTAAAGAAAGATTAATGCAAAAGATGTAGGTCCACGAATTCTATAGCTTGAAAGCGCTGAAGAATCTTTACGAGGAAACCTTTGATGTTGAGGCTATTAAACTGGTCAGGTGCTGTAAACACATAAAATCATGACATGAAATCCCTATAGAAATTTATTTAGGGTGATATTCAGATATTATATCACGGCATCTACTGACGAAATCGATGGCAAGGGATATCAAAGTATCTAAATTTTCAACCCTGTTTTTCTAAGCAAACCTGTCATTAGATACTGTCTGACTGTCTGAAGTCCTTTGTTCCTGGTCTGAGAAAGATGGTCGGATCAAAGAAGGCAAAAAACCTCAAGATGTTATTAATCGGATTATTTTGTGCTTTGCGAATGCTTTAAAATTTTACGAATCATTTAGCAGGAGACTCGAGAAAGGAAAAAAAATTCTGATATTTCTGGAAGTTACGCCCGATCGAAAAAACATCTGGCAATTGTTTTTGTTGCCTCTATGACATCAGTGACACCATACCCTCACCCTATTTTTATCTTCTCTGTGGCGTCAAACGAGAAGAATAGAAAACCTCAGAGCAAGGCTCCCCTTAGATTTAAACTAGTTTGAGCCGCGATTTAGGCTTTGGTTAGTTTATGGTTTAGTTTTTACCTAAAAAGCGAATAGATTTTGATCATTTTTTTCTAACATCATGTGTGAATTTTTAAGACGGACCCACAAAAGTCAGCCATGTAACATGTTAGCCCTGCGTGACGTCACTGAAAGAGACGGTGACTGGCACAGACCCCTTATCAGACTTTTTTAGGACAACGAGGCGAGAATGCCTGGGGACTAGGCTGGGGTGGAATAATTTATAGTATGGTGTGTGGGATTCATATGATGGGAACTTCATGGCCTGCCATGACAGCGTAAAGTGTAAATTCAAAAAGATGGGGCCGAGGCTTATGGTCAGAACTCTAAGACATAGGCGTACGGGCCGGGGGGGCGAGGGGGGCTGCAGCCCCCCCCAAATTTTGGGCAACTCCGATTTTTTGGGCAGCAAGAGAAAATTTGGGCAAAGCCAGCTTTTAAAGACGTTTCCATGTTTTTTTTTTATTAGTGTTTTGAAGAGATAAATACTTTCCATTTTAACCTGAAGTCGGCGTAATAATCCAGTTACATTCACTCGAGACAGTGGTTGCCAAGCACGTGAAAAGTTTGTGGTTATAAGGGAGGGGTATCATATGCTGATTTTTTTTTAATCGTTGGGCGCTGTACTGCAATGGGCTATTTCCAATCGTGAATTCATTACAATAAACTTCTGCCTAACTTCATTTCTAGAATCATCTCTGCTAGTAGAACAGTGTGTTGCAGATAGCATCAGCGATGGGTCTGAAAGTGAAGAAGTGGCTGACTAATTCTCAGTTTAATACGAGAAGAATATTAATTTTTTTTAAAAATCTATCAAGCGTTTTCAATTATTCACTAATTTATTAAAGTAGACCCAAATGTTTACAAAACCGCTAACAAGAGCGCCATGGTACATACTAATCAAATCCTTCCTTGTAGCAATTGACCAGAATTAATTCTCAAATAATTCACACACGTTTTTAAAAAGATTGAAACTGCTATAAGGTGAAATTGCATTTCAAAAGCGCTTCGTTTTCTAGAGATAACGCCTAAACATCAAGATTTTCCTTTTTTTAATGTTTTTCTGACGATAAAAACTTTATCCCAAAATATCCCGATAACGCTCTTACAGATTCTGTTTTAACTTCACGAATATCGAGGCGACTATTGGAGGAAAAAGCTCCCGAGAACGATTTCACAGTGAGAAATAATGCTGCAAGTGTAATAGGTAATGGCGTCAGTTCGTTGCTTTGACAACTCCGATGTCATTGCAACCGAGATCATGACAAATTTTCATCTTTATCTAATACAACTGTGGTCCCCGTGGCAATGTTTCCAAATGCTCGTTTATGGCCACGTAGTTTATGCTCAAACTCGGTAGGTATTGACCCTGAAAAACTGTATCGAGCCACTTTCATATGCCAGTACGGCCTATGTTGTTGCATCGTATAGCCCTCTTTTCTCTTCGACTGTTTTGTCAAATTTGGGCAACTTGCAAGAATTTTTTGGGCAAATGGTTTACAGCCCCCCCCTGGCCGAAAATTGCCCGTACGCCTATGCTCTAAGATAAGAGCATTTATTGTTCTGTTCTCACTAGCAAACATGATAACATGTTCAAAAACAATTAACAGAAGACTGTAATTCTTTTGAGTAAAAATCACATAATCTTCAACTATTACCCTTACAAACAACGTACGATGTGCAGGGGTTTGATTATTCTCAAGAACGATTGGTGGACTGATTTTATGACCAAATCTCCTTCTCGTTAAGTTGTTGTTTTCGTCTTTATTCTCTTAGGGAGGTTGATATGGACAACAAAGACGAAGTTCTGCTGACAAGTCTTCTTTTCGTTTCTCTATATCTTTGCAACACAAATCGGGTTCCAAACGCTATCGATATGTGTAAAGAAGTTCTGTTTCTTCTCCAGCATAAGACACTGGGAAATATGGACGAAAAGTGTGTCAAAAGTTTTGAGAATATTCGCAGTCACGCAATAGGATGCGGCATAAGACCAATCTTAACTTCTCGACAGATTGTCGAGAGAAAAGTGGAACTAATCACAACCTGTATACTTACAGAATTATACAAAAGTGAAAGTAAATACAATGAAGCAAAAGGGCTTGACTTGAAAGCACTAAAGATTGCAGAGAAAGTTGGCAACATCACAATAAAAGCTAAATACTCTGGACACCTTGAACATTTCAAAAAAGCACTTGCACTTGAGTCTCTCGGTGAATATGTCAAGGCTAAAGAACATTTCGAAAAAGCACTTGCAATCGCAGAGAAAATTGGCGACAGGAATATAGAAGCCATATGCTATGCATGGCTAGGACGTATCTTTGAGTCTCTCGGTGAATATGTCAAGGCTAAAGAACATTACGAAAAAGCACTTGCAATGCCGGAGAAACTTGGCGACAGGAAAATAGAAGCCATATGCTATGCAAGCTTAGGACGTATCTTTGAGTCTCTCGGTGAATATGTCAAGGCTAAAGAACATTTCGAAAAGGCGCTTGCAATCGCAGAGAAAATTGGCGACAGGAACCTAGAAGCCGATATCTATGCATCGCTAGGACGTATCTTTGAGTCTCTCGGTGAATATGTCAAGGCTAAAGAACATTTCGAAAAAGCACTTGCAATCGCAGAGAAAATTGGCCACAGGAAAATAGAAGCCAGATGCTATGCAAGCCTAGGAAGTATCTTTGGGTCTCTCGGTGAATATGTCAAGGCTAAAGAACATTTCGAAAAAGCACTTGCAATCGCAGAGAAAATTGGCGACAGGAAAATAGAAGCCACATGCTATGCAAGCCTAGGAAGTATCTTTGAGTCTCTCGGTGAATATGTCAAGGCTAAAGAACATTTCGAAAAAGCACTTGAAATCGCAGAGAAAATTGGCGACAGGAAAACAGAAGCCAAATGCTATACAGACCTAGGAAATATCTTTCAGTCTCACGGTGAATATGTAAAGGCTAAAGAACATTTGGAAAAAGCACTTGCAATCGCAGAGAAAATTGGCGACAGGAAAATAGAAGCCATATGCTATGCAAACCTAGGAGGTATCTTTGTGTCTCTCGGTGAATATGTCAAGGCTAAAGAACATTCGGAAAAAGCACTTGCAATCGCAGAGAAAATTGACGACAGGAAAAAAGAAGCTGACATCTATGGAAAGCTAGGAAGTATCTTTGAGTCTCTCGGTGAATATGTCAACGCTCAAGAACAGTACGAAAAAGCACTTGAAATCGCAGAGAAAATTGGCGACAGGAAAACAGAAGCCAAATGCTATAGAAACCTAGGAAGTATCTTTGAGTCTCACGGTGAATATGTCAAGGCTAAAGAACAGTACGAAAAAGCACTTGAAATCGCAGAGAAAACTGTCGACAGGAAAATAGAAGCCATATGCTATGCATGGCTAGGACGTATCTTTGAGTCTCTCGGTGAATATGTCAAGGCTAAAGAACATTACGAAAAAGCACTTGCAATGGCGGAGAAACTTGGCGACAGGAAAATAGAAGCCATATGCTATGCAAGCCTAGGACGTATCTTTGAGTCTCTCGGTGAATATGTCAAGGCTAAAGAACATTTCGAAAAGGCGCTTGCAATCGCAGAGAAAATTGGCGACAGGAACCTAGAAGCCGATATCTATGCATGGCTAGGACGTATCTTTGAGTCTCTCGGTGAATATGTCAAGGCTAAAGAACATTTCGAAAAAGCACTTGCAATCGCAGAGAAAATTGGCGACAGGAAAATAGAAGCCAGATGCTATGCAGACCTAGGAAGTATCTTTGAGTCTCTCGGTGAATATGTCAAGGCTAAAGAACATTTCGAAAAAGCACTTGCAATCGCAGAGAAAATTGGCCACAGGAAAATAGAAGCCATATGCTATGCAAGCCTAGGACGTATCTTTGAGTCTCTCGGTGAATATGTCAAGGCTAAAGAACATTTCGAAAAAGCACTTGCAATCGCAGAGAAAATTGGCGACAGGAAAACAGAAGCCACATACTATGGAAGCGTAGGAAGTATCTTTGAGTCTCTCGGTGAATATGTCAAGGCTAAAGAACATTTCGAAAAAGCACTTGCAATCGCAGAGAAAATTGGCGACAGGAAAATAGAAGCCACATGCTATGCAAGCCTAGGAAGTATCTTTGAGTCTCTCGGTGAATATGTCAAGGCTAAAAAACATTTCGAAAAAGCACTTGCAATCGCAGAGAAAATTGGCGACAGGAAAACAGAAGCCAAATGCTATAGAAACCTAGGAAGTATCTTTGAGTCTCACGGTGAATATGTCAAGGCTAAAGAACATTCCGAAAAAGCACTTGCAATCGCAGAGAAAATTGGCGACAGGAAAATAGAAGCCGAATGCTATGCAAACCTAGGATGTATCTTTGGGTCTCACGGTGAATATGTCAAGGGTCAAGAAGATTTCGAAAAAGCACTTGCAATCGCAGAGAAAATTGGCGACAGGAAAATAGAAGCCACATGCTATGCAAGCCTAGGAAGTATCTTTGAGTCTCTCGGTGAATATGTCAAGGCCAAAGAACATTTCGAAAAAGCACTTGCAATCGCAGAGAAAATTGGCGACAGGAAAATAGAAGCCACATGCTATGCAAGCCTAGGAAGTATCTTTGAGTCTCTTGGTGAATATGTCAAGGCTAAAGAACATTTCGAAAAAACACTTGAAATCGCAGAGAAAATTGGCGACAGGAAAATAGAAGCCACATGCTATGGAAGCGTAGGAAGTATCTTTGAGTCTCTCGGTGAATATGTCAAGGCTAAAGAACATTTCGAAAAGGCGCTTGCAATCGCAGAGAAAATTGGCGACAGGAACCTAGAAGCCGATATCTATGCATGGCTAGGACGTATCTTTGAGTCTCTCGGTGAATATGTCAAGGCTAAAGAACATTCCGAAAAAGCACTTGCAATCGCAGAGAAAATTGGCGACAGGAAAATAGAAGCCATATGCTATGCAAGCCTAGGAAGTATCTTTGAGTCTCTCGGTGAACACGTCAAGGCTAAAGAACATTACGAAAAAGCAATTGCAATCGCAGAGAAAATTGGCGACAGGAAAATAGAAGCCAGGAGCTATGTAAACCTAGGAAATATCTTTGAGTCTCTCGGTGAATACGTCAAGGCTAAAGAACATTGCGAAAAAGCAATTGCAATCGCAGAGAAAATTGGCGACAGGAAAACAGAAGCCAGCAGCTATGGAAACCTAGGAAATATCTTTGAGTCTCTCGGTGAATACGTCAAGGCTAAAGAACATTGCGAAAAAGCAATTGCAATCGCAGAGAAAATTGGCGACAGGAAAATAGAAGCCAGCAGCTATGCAAACCTAGGAAGTATCTTTGAGTCTCTCGGTGAATACGTCAAGGGTCAAGAAGATTTCGAAAAAGCACTTGCAATCGCAGAGAAAATTGGCGACAGGAAAATAGAAGCCACATGCTATGCAAGCCTAGGAAGTATCTTTGAGTCTCTCGGTGAATATGTCAAGGCCAAAGAACATTCCGAAAAAGCACTTGCAATCGCAGAGAAAATTGGCGACAGGAAAATAGAAGCCACATGCTATGCAAGCCTAGGAAGTATCTTTGAGTCTCTTGGTGAATATGTCAAGGCTAAAGAACATTTCGAAAAAGCACTTGAAATCGCAGAGAAAATTGGCGACAGGAAAACAGAAACCACATGCTATACAGACCTAGCAAATATCTTTCAGTCTCTCGGTGAATATGTCAAGGCTAAAGAACATTTGGAAAAAGCACTTGCAATCGCAGAGAAAATTGGCAACAGGAAAATAGAAGCCATATGCTATGCAAAGCTAGGAGGTATCTTTGTGTCTCTCGGTGAATATGTGAAGGCTAAAGAACATTCGGAAAAAGCACTTGCAATCGCAGAGAAAATTGACGACAGGAAAAAAGAAGCTCAGATCTATGCAAAGCTAGGAAGAACCTTTGAGTCTCTCGGTGAATATGTCAAGGCTCAAGAACAGTACGAAAAAGCACTTGAAATCGCAGAGAAAATTGGCGACAGGAAAACAGAAGCCATATGCTATAGAAACCTAGGAAGTATCTTTAAGTCTCACGGTGAATATGTCAAGGCTAAAGAACAGTACGAAAAAGCACTTGAAATCGCAGAGAAAACTGTCGAAAGGGAAATAGAAGCCAAGAGCTATGCAAGCCTAGGAAGCATCTTCAAGTCTCGTGGAGAATATGTCAAGGCTAAAGAACATTTCGAAAAAGCACTTGCAATCGTAGAGAAAATTGGCGACAGGGATACAGAAGCCACATGCTATATGGGCCTAGTAACCACGTTCAAGTTACTCGGTGAAAATGTCAAGTATAAGGAATGGCTCGAAAAAGCCAGTGTATTGCACATAAATTATGGGGCCGTCGAACGCGAGTCATATCGTCGCTTGGTTGTTTCAGCTTTTATGTTTTATGAAGGTAACATATCTGAAGCTAAATCAAACGCCGTTGATAATTTTAATAACGTAGAACGTATGCGACGCCTCCAAGTTCATGATCAATTCAAGATATCGTATTTTGACCGAATGGTTAGAGCCTACCGAATTTTCAGTCAGTTTCTTTGTGCTAATGGCTTTCATTATGAAGCTTTTTACACAGAAGAATTTGGGCGAGCCAGGGCCCTTACAGACTTAATGACAGCTCTGTACTCTGTAGAAAACGAAATACCAGTCAGTCTAGTAACATGGGATGAAGTTCAAAGTATTGTCAAGAAAGAATCCAACTGTTCTTGTCTTTACATATCATACTACGAACAATTGATACATTTGTGGGTTGTTAAAGCAGACAAACCTTTAATTTTCCTGCAAAAAGAAGTAAATGATGTTTTTGGATCAGCAAGCAGAGTGGCTGACTTGCTTTGTCGCGAAATTTACAGAGAGGTACTTTGCTTAGCTCCTGAACAATGCGAGGATCGATCCTGGCTTCCCTCAAACGCTTACTCGGAGCAGGGGTGTGAACGCCTAATGTTAGAAGAAGATGAAGTTGTAAGCCAGCAACCCGATCTTACTCCTGCTTACATCTACAAAACGATCATTGCTCCTGTAGCTGACTATCTTGATGAGCCTGAAATCATCATTCTTCCTGATCACCTCTTTTACAAAGTTCCATTTGCAGCACTAGAAGATGAAAGTGGAAAGTCTTTATCAGAGTCTTACAGGATCCGCATCGTTCCCTCTTTGACGACTCTAAAGCTTATTCAGGACAGTCCGGCAGACTACCACAGTCAGACTGGTGTACTGATAGTGGGAGACCCTGATGTTGGTGACGTGTTGTACAAGGGAATTCTTCAGCAGATATCGAGGTTGTCTTTTGCAAATAAAGAAGCAAAGATGATTGGAAAACTGTTCGGTACTCAACCTCTTCTAGGAAAACAAGCTACAAAGCAGGCGGTTCTTCAAAACATTCATTCTGTGTCTCTGATACATTTTGCTTGTCACGGTAATGCTGAAAGAGGTGAAATTCTTCTTGCTCCTCCATCCCTCTCAGATAGGAAACCTGCTCCAGAAGAAGACTACTTACTGACTATGGAGAACATTTCAAAAGTTCAACTGCGAGCCAAACTGGTGGTCCTTAGCTGCTGTCACAGTGCAAATGGACGGAGTAGTGCCGAGGGAGTGGTTGGAATTGCTCGCGCGTTTTTAGGATCCGGTGCACGCTCAGTGTTGGCGGCACTGTGGGCCATAGAAGACAAAGCAACAGAGCAGTTCATGAGTCGTTTCTACGACAACCTTCTTCGTGGGGAAAGCGCCAGTGAATCCCTTCAACAGGCCATGAAGTGGATGAGAGAAAACGGTTTCTTCAAGGTGTCGCAGTGGGCGCCATTTATGCTTATTGGAGACAACGTGACATTGGATATTCACAAGTTAAGGTCATCGAAAGGACAGTAAAAGTTGATGAACAAAACGAACGATGGTCCTTTTCCCCAAATCCCTCGTGTTAGTCCTTACAAATACAGGATTAAATTCGCGTTTTTTTAAATTCAGCAATTAAATGATAGGGTCGATTTGTTCTGTACAACAGTAAAGATGTGTATATAGATTTAAACCGAGTCTCTGATACCTGAATACAATAGGATAAGCATTCAAGATTTACAATTCCGGTTTTGTTTTTGACATAACTCACATAGAGTTGTCAGTTATAATAAGTTTTTAACTCAAGTTCGTTTGAGATTATTTGTTACAGTGATTTTTACTAACTTTTAAACCGTCTCCTGTTGTCGGAGTTAGGATAATTCTTAACAGTTTCTTCTTGTTAGGAGGAAACATTTATTAGTTGATGCTCGAGGAATATTCACTTGTAAATAACAGGACAGTTGTGTCTTGCAATACACATGTTTGTGTTTCAGATGAGATGTAGGTCAAGCAGTTGCACGACTTATACGAGTCGTAACCGACTTGAAAACGGCTCCCTCTCTGCCAACTCTTAATTCTAAGTGTCGCCAATGAGATGTTATATTATTTTATTATATCCTATTCACCGCTTGTACGAATCGCACAACTCCACTGAAGGCTTTACTCACGATCGCGATTTGTGTCCTTCGTACAAGTTGTAGCAATCGGAATCACGAAATTAATTCACGACTTGAACAAGCAGCGATTATTGGACACCCTCAAACATGGTGACATTTAGCAGTCACAAACTTTAAGGGTTGAAACAGGTAGATACGACAATATACCTCGTAACGCCAAAAATTTATGTATAAGTCACTGCAACTGTAACAGAATTGAAGATGAAACTAATTTTTTACTAGATTTCCTAAGCTACTCTTCTACAAGAAACATGATCTCCAATTTCTAACACATATCCTAAAATCCGATTTATACGACTACTATCAAATGAGACCTTGTGATCAAATCTAATTAATTCCCATTATGCATGTTTACGTCAGACGGAATAAATTTAAGCATCAAGCCACGTTTTGCCGACAATAAACGTTAAGAAGTCTTCCATATATGAATTCCAAAACAGTACGTACGACTGCAGAATTTTGTTCACAAAAGAGGCTTGGTGGTGAAAATTGCTAGTCTGACATTAACATGTAGGACATGCGTAAGGTCCATTCTACTGACTATTTTATAAACATTCAATTAATTTCATTCATCTCATCATGCTTTGAATTGAGAGACAAACTGGGCTCTGAAATAACTACTCTAAAGAATGGTTAAAAATAAGTGATGGTTGCATTTTTTTCCTTTTCTTATTTTAAAGTTATTTTAATTAATTAAATAAATAAGAATTAAATTTAAGTGGCTTTTGCAATGCTGTATTACAATGTTACCAACAGTCATGCAAATAAACCTTGTTGTTATTATTCTAGACCAGAGATGGCTTGTCGTCTGTAGAGGGTGAGGATGGGGTAAGGGGGACCCTTGGATGGGTGACCTGTGGTTTGCTGAGAGGAAGGCAAATGTTTCAAAGAAAAATTGACAACCAAAACAAATATAACATCTGTACGTATTTTTATTCCACTTTCTATTCCACTGTTTGTAGTATGCACGATGGTTAGTTACAGACTTTCCAACTCTCACGATTTTAGGACCTGTTTCACTCTCTCACGAATTGGCAACTGATTTCTCACGCTTTCTCGAAAATTCAAACTCCAAAATATTTTGGAGCTGTAGGGTTCGTTTCCAAGTTAGATATCAATAGATAGCAAGCTCAACCTCAACCCCCCCCCCGCCCCCCCCCAAAAAAAACGCTAAGTGGTCGCGTTTGATTACATTCTTTTAGCCTACCGCGTCTTAAAGCTGCCACCAAATGTGCGGACTTCCTGTTTCTCTTGTTTCAAGAAGGCGCCAACAAAACATAGAAATTACAAAACGTAAATCATAAAATTGATCGTGATGTTTACATCTCCATGAGCTTTAAAGTGAGACAGTGACTTCTAATTCCCATTATCTCCACTGAAAGTCCTTTCACTAGGAAATTTGGGACACCTCACGACTTTTTACCCATTTCTCACTTCTTTTCCCAGCCCTAGGTTCAGAATCTCACATTTTTTGCCTTTTGGGGGTTTGCAAGTCCGTAGTTAAATCATAGTTATTAAAGTGGAATGGTTATGAAACTCGTTATACTCCTTCGTTATATGTTTTTGTTAGCTTTTTTGGGCCAGAGTGTGCACAACGTTCAATAGCATACCTATAATTTTGAAGCTTACTGACCAATACAGACACCGCATTTATTCATTCAGTCACAATTTCAGAGGATTGTGCACGGTGAGGGAGATTCTAACATAAACTACAGCACCATTGTTTTCAACTTTGATGTTTGCTGGCTTTCATAACCAGTCTCCTCTACTAACTATGGCTAAATTTTCTAAGCAAAGGGAAACAATAAATTTACAATCAATTCAACGACGAAGTCAAAGTCCAAAATACAAATTTTGCACCGACTGTTTGTTAGGTAGCGAGATGGTTCAGGTTTCACAAGAAAATGATAAAAGGTCCATATTTGCAGAGTACTACCTTTCTGAAACAGTTCTATATCTAAGGCCTGTTTCAAAGGTCGTGCTACTGCCGTGCTAAGCCGGCTCGACTGTAGCTCGACTGAAGCACGACGTTAGCACTACTTGGTTTCAGACGTCGAATTCAATTCACACAATGATAGGCGAATGGAACGGCTGTTGCCAAAAACAAAACAGGAAAATAAAGAAACGGTTTAGCAAACTTTTAAATATATTCTAATGTATTTGTAATTCATGAAATTGAGTTCGGCACGGCGGTAGCACGACGTTTGAAACCAAGTCGAGCTACTGCCGTGTAGCACGTTGCCTGCGTGCAGACGTCTCCTATTTCCTTTATTGCACGCGGAAAAGGGACGTCTGCGTCTTTTCCGCGTGCAATAAAGGAAATAGGAGACGTCTGCACGCAGGCAATGTAGCACGGCAAGGCTTGCCGTGCTACACGGCAGTAGCACGACTTGGTTTCAAACGTCGCGCTACTACCGTGCTAAAATCGAGTTTAATTCGATCAATTGAGTTCGGCACGGCAGTAGTACGACGTTTGAAACGGGCCTAAGTGACAATATGATGCCGACTCCGAAACATCTCTATGGTGGCCGAGAACTTCCTTAAAAAAAATCCGAATTTTGGAGGATTTTTAAAATTGATTGTTGATAATTTTCATTTTATTTGTAAATATTTTTCTTTTCATTTTGAATTAAAAGACAAATAAAGAAACTGAAGTGAAATCAAAACAAAATCAAATCAAAATTGATTTTCGACCCAGTCGAGCACTGCCACTACCACCATGTATTGGTTAACTATCACATGTTCGTGTAATGATGGCAGACGCGTGGAAAATGTTGAATAAAAAAGTAAGGACAAAGCGAACCAAAAAAGATCCTCCTTAAGACCATCAACGCGCGCGTTACCACAGCAGCCTTTTACTGGCTGTATCCAAGCAGCCATAGAAATGGAAGGACGCTTTCCATTCAGCCCCAAATTCCGGAAACTTCGGTTAGAAATCAAATGGAATGGACCACTTCGGTTCGTTCAGAAGTGGTCATCAACATTTTTCAAGGTGGCTCACTTTGACCAGCCCGGTCATTCGGTCGGTCCTCAATGATCGAGTTCTGTTGTCTCGTACACTCGATGTTTGATGTAACTTCTTTAAGTAAGTTAAGTCTTTCTATCAGCGTTGACTGCAAAGCTTGACACACAAGTTTGAACATGCAATTCAGCTTTGGAGTATTATTTCCCACACTGTTCCCATTACTAAAGAAAGTCTTTCATTGGGTCATCTTCTTGGCGACGTTTTAACCTATAAGCCTCCATCTCTTCTTCCGTCACCTCATGATAATCACCTTTGAGGGAGTTGTAAGGCCTTCTGCGTTCATCCATAGCCAGTAATTTGTCAGCTTCTTGCTGGTTACGTTCCTCTTTCCTTAGTGCCTAAAACACGAATTAGAAAGCATTAGAGTGTGCCGATGTCTTGACATTATATTTCAATGCCTTCTGGATGATTATCAAATCTCGCTCCATGTTCTCAACATATAAAAAACATAGGACAGCAGGCCACAGATTCTGTCCACATCTTAAATTTGGATCGCAGCCACAATCTTCATCAGTGCTACTCACAAGAAGTAAATTACTGACACGGAAGTAGCATGGCCCTTAACTTGACTAAAACTGAGTTTATGTTAGTTGGGTCGAGGCAGAAGCTATCAAAGCTTTCTGAATCTCCTTCTTTTATGATAAACGACCATCCCGTGATGCAAGTGTCAACGGCAAAATCTCTTGGAGTGCATATTGACCAAAACTTAACCTGGGAATGCCACATACAGAGTATTTGTAAAAAGATTGCTTCTGCTTTGGGTGCAATTAAAAGATTACAACATCTTATTCCTTTTAATGTATTAATTAATGTTTACGACAGTTTAATTCAACCGCATTTTGATTACTGTAATGTCGTATGGAGCAACTGCGGCATTGGTCTTTCCGATAAGCTGCAGAGGCTCCAAAATCGTGCAGCCCGTATTCTAATGTCCGCTAATTCTGATTGTAATGTGGACGATTTGTTCCTGGCACTGGGTTAGCGTAAGCTTAAACACCAAGACAAGTATCGACGGCTATTATGATGTATAAAACCGTACATGGGATGACTCCCGACTATCTAACATCTAAATTTGTATCTCGTGACGAAATAACTTCTTATCGATTGAGGAATACTGAAAAAAAATTAGTCCTTCCACTGCCACGTACCAATTATTTAAAGAAAAGTTTCTCCTATAGCGGAGCTAAGCTGTGGAACAGCCTATCCCATGATTTAAGATCTGCAGATTCTTTACATGATTTTAAACGCAAACTGTGTCACAACAGTTTTGAATGAGTTCATACATTAATACAGTTTTACACGGCATCCTTGAAAAGCAGCTTTTATTTGTAAATAGCTAGGTAGTTAAAATTTTATGAATATATTTTTCAGAGTTAGTTTAGTTAGGTATAATAGATCTTAGATTTTTTTTGTACATGCTGAAGGAATTTTAACCGTGTTTAAATAAAGTTATCTATCTATCTATCTATCTATCTATCTATCTATCTATCTATCTATCTATCTATCTATCTATCTATCTATCTATCTATCTATCTATCTATCTATCTATCTATCTATCTATCTATCTATCTATCTATCTATCTATCTATCTATCTATGAGCAAATTCATTCCCTTTGTGCTACAATCAAAGGTTACAATTTTGATCCAAAGTTATATATGAGTTTCCCACCTTTTTAAGTTTGTCCCTTTTCACTTCCTCATCATCTTCATCGACTGACTTCTCCCTTTTCTTTCCTTTCTTTCGATTTTCTTGATGAAGCTGAAAAGTTAGCAAAATACAATAATTTTGGTTATGCCAGAAGGCAAAATTTTTCAAAGAAACAATAATTATTCCAGAATCACTGCCAGGTGTCCTTCTTAAAGAGGTATATGTTGTAGTTTTTTTTTAAATCAGGTAATTTCAATTTTTTCACTGTTTTTGGGTATGGTAATGTATGCCAATGAATTTGAAACAATGGAAAAATAAAAACATATTGAGATGAAAAATGAATTACAACATCTATTTTGCGTGAATGGACCACCTTTGAGAAAACAATTTACAGTAAGGTTAGCCGATAGGTTACAAAATTTGTATCATCTAATATCAAGCCAGGTCAAGCACACTTCCATAGGTTCTATTAATGTTTTCATTTATTGACTTGTGATTCAGTTTTTCATTCTTGCATATAATCATTTGCCGTCAGTTCTGCTCTCTTTTTGACCCAATATAAATGTCTTCAGAGGAATTTTATCCAGGCACTCTAAGTGCGAAAAAATTTTCAGTCTGGCCAAAAAATTATTCAGAAAAGTTGTAGTCTAAAATTTACTGCTTTTATGCATGCAGCAAAGCAGGTTTGAATTTGATACTCTTGTCTGTATTGGCCTACCCTTTTTTGTATTTTTAGTGACATTGACTTAGTCTTGCTCCTCAAAAGTGCAAAAAAAAAAGACTTGGCCAACATCAAGCAAATTGACCTCATGTTGGGTCAATAACGCATGAATCAAACAAACCTCCAGTAATGTTTTCCCACTTTCTTCTGCTTCTTGGATTCTTTTTGCTGCATCCGTTAGAGGTGCAATAGCCTAAAGATCACAGATCATTCAGTTTATAATATTAACTGAATTATGTACTGAACCAGATCACAGTACATTCAGTTACATACAATAGAATTTCCGCATACAGTCACTCAATATACATAACATGAACACCTTAAGTTTCTGTTTAGGGACAGTTCTCAGAAGGCAAAGTGACAGAGTGGTCAGCATGTGGAACTTACAATCTGGCGGACCATTTGCTAGGTTTTTTCTCGGTTGTCCTGAGTTCAGAACCTCAGCCATGCTTGTAAATAGCCAACTAGTTGCCTCTTGCCATTTGGGTTTTTAATCCCGTTATATTCTATTTGGATTTTTAATTTTTGCTTCTAATATTATTTGAGTTACTTAAGTGGAGTGCCTGAATTTAAACTAGTAAGATAATTAAGCTTAGTGGACTTTCTACTATTTCTCCCGATCCCCAAGATAACAACCTCTATACAATTACTACCTTTATATGACATGACATGCAACTGTCACATCAGAGTGCATTCAACACCTACCCTTGAAGCTGATGTTGCTTTACCAGCGTCACCTGTACAGTAAGAGTTTCTAATGAAAGAATGACAGCAGGCATATCCCCATTTTCCCTCCTGCCAGTAAGAACCCCAAACGCTCTGTAAAATAAAATCAGGACACCAAAACTTCAATCTGTAACTGCAGCACTCCTCAATGAATGGAAATTTTTTCCTGTCCCTGAATCAATGCCTAAAATAACTAAAGAGGTTTGAGATTGTAGGGCGGCTTTCCAAGTGAAAAAAAGCACTGTATTAACTTTAGCTCTGGAGATTTTTAACTAGGCTGTTAGGTTGTAAGGAAAATGAACACTTAATTTAAGAAATCATAAACAAATCCTCCTCATTAGAAACATAAAATATGCATTGAGGCAAATCTAGTCAATATGCATGTTGATGCTAACATACCATATGGTTGTTTATGTACACATCCTCTTCATATTTGGATTTTGAAACAGCTTTGTCCTGAC